ACTTTTCCCATGAGGCCTTCGTGAACCTTAAACCAATCACCTGCAGTGAACCTTAAACCAATTACCTGCAACCTCAGACCCTCCCCATGCACCTCTACTGGAACGTCACACCTGTTCCCATAACCATAGTAATAAATGACCTGTTACTGCACACAGGGTAATGCTGGTGGGATTACGTCAGACAACAATATATGTAGCACTACATTATAAATTTATAGGCGTTTAAATGTAAATAAATGAAACTCAAAAATGAGTTAGTCAGTACTTTATTTCACTTAAGCTAAACCAAGGCTGTCCAAACTCGGTCCTGGAGGGCCGGTGTCCTGCAGAGTTTAGCGTCAACTTGCCTCAACCCACCGGACTGGAAGTTTCTATACCTCGTAAGAGCTTGATTAACTGGTTCAAGTGTTTAATTAAAGTTGGAGCTAAACTCTGCAGGACACCAGCCCCCCAGGACCATTTGGACAGCCCTGAGCTAAACAATCGCACGTACAAGTTTCAAAACTATAATTCCCTGATTTTGAGAAACCATTTCTTTATTCATTTACCCTAAACCACAAAATCCACGGAAATTAATCCGAAGCATATTAGGGATGCACTGAAATGTATTTATTTATTTATAAAGCGCTTTACAACTGCACATGCAGACCAAAGTGCTGTACTATCAACATACAAATACATAAAAACTTAAACTAAGATAACCCAAAAATGGATCAATTAAAATACACACAATCTAGCCCAGACTAATGACAAAAGATAGTTCTTAACACCAGCTTTAAAACTGTTTATAGATGTGCACAAACCTACATTATTATGTGCATGCAGCGGCTCAGCTCTAATCAAGTGAAATCCCCTGATAGCCGCCGCTCACCGACTGACGGTGTAAATGGGATCAGTGCTTTGTTCAGTGTTTTTCGAGCAGCAGCGCAGGGTTTTGGGCAGCTTCTCCCATGACACATACAGAACCGGCTGGATGCTGCTGCTGATGTCCATGAAGCCAAAGGCAATGTAATGGGTATAACAGTGGAAGACATCCGGAGAGAAATACTCTCAAAAGGGAAAGAGAGCCACCGGCAGGAAGTAGTTAAACACAATGATGGCCAAGATGATGAGGACCATCTTGAAGGCCTTCTTGTTGACCGGGTGTCTCTCGTCTCGACCTGGAGCCGACTGTCTCAGAGCCCAGAGAATGGAGATGTTACAGAAGAGCATTAACACGAACGGTGAACACCTTGTCAAAGTTGGGGATGTTTCCCACACACTTGGCTGCGGCGTAGACCAAAGTGAGGAAATGAAAATTCTGGGCCGAAACCGAACATTCTGAATGCACTGGGCCGAAAACCGAAACTAAAAATGCTTTGTAATAATTATTTATTATTTTATTAAATAATAAATAGTAATTTTGTAAAACTTTTTTAAATTGAACTCAATCATTTTAATGACACTGAATTTAAAATTATAAGCCAATAAAATAACCACACATTTATTGAAAGTAACAGAATATATGAGCGGAGCGTCACACAGTGCAGTGACAACGGCTAGAGAGAGAGTGAAACCTGCGCACTGAACACTAGGCAGTGCAGCGCGGCATATATTTTTGGCCGTTTTTCTCTTTTGGCCGAAAACCGAAAATGCCATTCGAAAATTCGGCCATTAAAATGCCATTAGTCTTTATAATCAATTGCAAAATGATGGACAATGGTTCACATTTCCTGTGATAACATTATATTATTATATAAAGATCTCCCTCTTTTCAATTTCTTTCTTGCTGCATTAAAGATGAAATGGTTTAATAAATTTTTTTCGCACTGGCGCAGTGAGGGAAAAATCACTGAGTTTAGGGTAGTCGGTTCGTAGCTCTGCTTCAACTGTGCGATACCTTCAGGAGTCAGAAATTCATCCGACCATCCGATTGCCTGTCAGGAGAGACTAATCGCTTCTCGTTTCCCCCTGTACACTTCACGAACACTGCAGGACAAACGACGCACGACAAAGCTGAAATTCGCCCCGACTCAAAAAAGAGTCGCACGAGTCAGAATTTTGCTCTAATGGGGACATAAGCGATTTTCAACATTTAGGCCCGGCATACACTGTGCGATTTTCATCTGTTTTTGAGCCGAATTCTGACTCATGGGTATTTCAGCTTAAGCCAAGTTCACACTACACGACTTTAAATGTCAGCCAATCGCTGTGCTATTCAGACTACATGACTTGCTGTCTGTCTTGAAGTCGTTGTGGTGTTCACACTACGTGACACTAAATGATCAGCAACACGGGGTCACACACTTCACGAGCTGACAACAACTCTCTCACCCAACGACTCTACACGGTCTACAAACTGCGTTTTGTCACGAAAACTCATGCGAGAAGTGGAACGCGAATTCCATCGCTATCAAACTAGCTGCAACTGAGCAAACTGCTGTTTACCTCCAGTTTGCATTGCAGAATGGATAAACCATATGCTCACGTCTTCCAAGCCAACTGCACTTCTCTGACTCCTCTTTAATTCATGTATTTAATCATTAATTTATTTGTTTATTCACAAAGTTGTTTAATATTTACTCAGTCTTATCACAGGAAATGTGAACCATTGTCCATTATTTTGCAATTGGTGATAAAGACAAACACATCGCAAAATTAGAAATATTTCAGTTTTGAACCATGAAGGCGAGTTAGTGCGTTGATATGACATGAACTATGTGCAAACTGCATGAGCGTTATGCCTGTGAAGAAGTTTTAAACTCAAGTTAATTCATTATGCTGCAGAAAGTGAAAGTAAAAACCGACTGAGCTTTCGGCATCTGACGCTGCATTATCTGCACATATTCTCTCAGAGAAGACGAGAGACGAATCTCTTTCAACATATGCTGATGACGGTACTGAGTAACTGTCTTCATTTAATTTATCTAAAAATGTATCTTGTGGCCGATATACGTAGAGGAAAAAACAGCATTGAAGTAGCTTGTGTAAAAAAAAAGATGTTTTTGGAATTTCCTTGTCTGAGATAAAGCTGCTGTTATTTTCATTGATGACTCATTTTCAATGAGGAGTAAGCTAATGTAGTCAGTGACTTTATTGCCATCCGAATCCAGAATGCCAGAGTTTTTCTCCCACCACCCACGTAAAAATTCCTGGCTGAGTTACCTACTGTTTTTTGACAAACACCAAGTTCGTGTGGTAATTTAATTGCCATCTGAATCCACATCTTCTTGTAAATTCAGAGAAATCAATTCAAAATTCAGTGTTGAAATCCTTTTTGACCACTGCTGAACACCGTACAGTAACTGTTGCAGACAGTTTGTTTGAAATGGTCATTATTGTGGCAGCAACAGGTATGCAATTTAATTTTAAAATATGTATTATATACATTTATTTACATAAAAATATATACCAAGCAGCTTTATGTTTACCTTATGTAAATAAGAGGTTGCATTTACTTATTTCTGCTAATATCCAAATTTTTTATGACATCCATCATTCCGAGAGATAAAATAAAAGACAGAAAACCATTTCAACTAAAACATGTCTATTTTCCTATTTCTAAACATGAGTTTTAAGTAGTCAAGTAATAAATAGGATATTATTAAATATGAATTTATTCTTATTATTCCAAGCATATGACATTTTATTTACAGCCACTGTTGAGTTTTTCAATCAGAAAGTTGTTTTTTCTTCTTCAATTAATTTGACTTATGTTTGATGGCTAAAATGTAAATAATTAAAACATAATTCAGAAAAGATTAAGCAGAAAACATGGAATTAAAAAAAGAGAGATGTATTTCATTGGACACTAAACATTTATATTTCTTTTAAAAAAAAAGGTTTTGGTTGGACTTATGTCTGAGCTCTGACTATGTGAGTCTAAAACACTGATGATCGTCTGCTGAAGCACTTCCTTTGTCGTCTTGCAAATTTGGGCTTGGGGTCATTATCTTGCAGGAACATGAGATTCCTCTTCATCTTACATGCACAGAGATGATCAAACAATTTACAAAAAAGTAAATAATGATAAAAAAATAAAAAATAAATAAATGTATTGAAATCATATGATGACATATCACATGGATCTGATTTGTTTTTTAACTGCATCACGTCAATACAGTGAAACTCATTATTTTGAAGGGAGAGCAGGCTAAGGCTAAACTAAGGCTGTGTTTACACTTGGCATTAACATGCGATCACCGTGATCTGATCAAGCAGATCGGATGATCAGTCAATCAGGACACGGCACGTTTACACTTGGCAACATCAACTGACTTCCCTTTCTGGATAACTGATCGGATCTGTCTTTCCCGCACAATATTTAAATAAGTCTGCAGAGGATGGCCCCGGTGCAAAGTCGACCTGAAGTGGTGGGTTTTCTTTTGAAAACCATTTTTAGTCGCGGGACATTTTACAAATCCCGCAAAATGAGGATATAAGTGTACGAGTCTCACTAGCGCTCCACGGCCTCTTTCTTCTGACAGATCGGGAGAGAGGGGGCTGGATTGCGTTTACATTACACTGAGATCCGATCACAATGTGTCCTCGACTACCTCTGGACCAGGACATGATGATCGGATAACATTCCGATCAGAAGTACGTTTACACTTGTCTTTTTAATGTGTATGTGGACAACATCCAAATACAGGTCGCATGTTAATGCCAAGTGTAAACGCAGCCTAATTGAACACAAGTGGCAAAAATACTTTATACAATTTCTTTATTGATGTCATAAGAAAATGATCCTCCACAATCTGCTGTTACTGAGTCTGAAGCACCACATTCTCTTGAATCTCCTTGTGTGTGTGTAGCATTAAGCTTTGTTTTCACTGGAATTACTGGAATAATAATCACAATAGTATGTGTCATTTGTTCTCTGTGTTTCCATATGCAGGACTGAAGTCAGTTTGTGATTATGGAGAGCAGAGAGAGCAGAGAGAGATCTTCATCTGCTGATCCCAGCTGTGTGTCTCTGAAGAGTGACAGATCATTGCCTCTTCCTCCTACATTCAGTGATCAACCAGTGACCTCTGATCTCAGGTGAGATATAATGCAATATTAGGCCTATTTTACATTGAATCCGTAAGCAGCATGTATTTTATTTATTTGTTTATTTTTTGGCACCCATGTTAACAGGTCAAGGCATTCATGCTGCTTAGCAAGATGGCACATAGCAGAAGCAGCACTGCTGCAATTGCTTCGGCTAAAATAAACAAGAGTTGAGACAAAAATGTGCAGTTCCTCCATAAAAACATAAAACTGTAGTCTATAGGTGCTGCAACTAATGATTATTTTAATAATCAATTATTTGGCCGATAAGTTTTTCGATAAATCGATTAAACTGATAAAAAGCCTTTCTTTTTTTATTGACAAAATACACTATTCCACATGCTGCCCAATGCTGTCATGTCAAGTCAAGTCACCTTTATTTATATATATCTTTTAACAATACAGATTGTGCCAAAGCAGCTTAACAGTATTAAATAGGAAAATAGTGTGTCAATGCAAAAGGACAATAATAAACACTCAATTTTCAGTTAAATGCAGTTCATCACTGAATTCAGTGATGTCATCGTCCAGCTCAGTTCAGTTTAAATAGTATCTGTATGTCATAAGAAAATGATCCTCCACAATCTGCTGTTACTGAGTCTGAAGCACCACATTCTCTTGAATCTCCTTGTGTGTGTGTAGCATTAAGCTTTGTTTTCACTGGAATTACTGGAATAATAATCACAATAGTATGTGTCATGTGTTCTCTTGTGTTTCCATATGCAGGACTGAAGTCAGTTTGTGATTATGGAGAGCAGAGAGAGCAGAGAGAGATCTTCATCTGCTGATCCCAGCTGTGTGTCTCTGAAGAGTGACAGATCATTGCCTCTTCCTCCTACATTCAGTGATCAACCAGTGACCTCTGATCTCAGGTGAGATATAATGCAATATTAGGCCTATTTTACATTGAATCCGTAAGCAGCATGTATTTTATTTATTTGTTTATTTTTTGGCACCCATGTTAACAGGTCAAGGCATTCATGCTGCTTAGCAAGATGGCACATAGCAGAAGCAGCACTGCTGCAATTGCTTCGGCTAAAATAAACAAGAGTTGAGACAAAAATGAGCAGTTCCTCCATAAAAACATAAAACTGTAGTCTATAGGTGCTGCAACTAATGATTATTTTAATAATCAATTATTTGGCCGATAAGTTTTTCGATAAATCGATTAAACTGATAAAAAGCCTTTCTTTTTTTATTGACAAAATACACTATTCCACATGCTGCCCAATGCTGTCATGTCAAGTCAAGTCACCTTTATTTATATATATCTTTTAACAATACAGATTGTGCCAAAGCAGCTTAACAGTATTAAATAGGAAAATAGTGTGTCAATGCAAAAGGACAATAATAAACACTCAATTTTCAGTTAAATGCAGTTCATCACTGAATTCAGTGATGTCATCGTCCAGCTCAGTTCAGTTTAAATAGTATCTGTACCATCAAGTTGACGATATCGCTGGATATTAAGTGTCCCCAACTAAGCAAGCCAGAGGCGACAGCGCCAAGGAACCAAAACTCCATCGGTGACAGAATGGAGAAAAAACCTTGGGAGAAACCAGGCTCAGTCGGGGGGCCAGTTCTCCTCTGACCAGACGAACCAGCAGGTTGTTCCATTCTGCAGCAAAGTCAATAAAACAGACGATGAACAATATTAACAGCAATTATTATATGATGCAATCAAACTTATAGCAAAATGTGGTAGTTCTGTATGTTGTTTCAGGGTTGGCATCATCTGAGGTCCTCTGAGGGCTGTCGAGGTCATCTCTAGGTGCTGATCCACCATCTGGGCTGCATACGTACTGCATCCGGGTGACTGCAGTGACCATCTGATCTGGATACAGACTGGATCTGGGGGCTACGGTTGCCTCGAAATAAGAAATAAACAGACTAATATTAGCGTAGATGCCATTCTTCTAACGATGTAACAAGTACATTGTGTGTTATTGGAAGTGCTCCCAGTTCCGGCTGTCCTAATTAATGCCCCCTATCAATCCTTTAACGGATTTAAATATTAGAAATGTGTTAGCGTGTTATGTGTAAGCCAGGTTAAAGAGATGGGTCTTTAATCTAGATTTAAACTGACAGAGTGTTTTTGCCTCCCGAACAGTGTTAGGTAGATTATTACAGAGTTTGGGCGCTAAATAGGAAAAGGATCTGCCGCCCGCAGTTGATTTTGATATTCTAGGTATTATCAAATTGCCAGAATTTTGAGAACGCAGTGGACGTGGAGGACTATAATGCGATAAGAGCTTGCTCAAGTACTGAGGTGCCAAACCATTCAGGGCTTTATAAGTAATTAGCAAGATTTTAAAATCTATATAATGTTTAATAGGGAGCCAGTGTAGTGTTGACAGAACCGGGCTAACATGGTCATACTTCCTGGTTCTAGTAAGAACTCTAGCTGCTGCATTTTGGACCAGCTGGAGTTTGTTTATTAAGCGTGCAGAACAACCACCCAATAAAGCATTACAATAATCTAACCTTGAGGTCATGAACGCATGAATTAACGTTTCTGCATTTGACATTGAGACCATAGATCACAATTTTGATATATTTTTGAGATAGAAAAATGCAGTTTTACAAATGCTAGAAACCTGGCTTTCGAAGGAAAGATTGCTATCATATAGCACACCTAGGTTCCTAACTGATGACGAAGAATTGACAGAGCAGCCATCGAGTCTTAGACAGTGTTCTAGGTTATTACATGCAGAGGTTTTAGGTCCCATAATTAACCCCTCTCTTTTTTCCGAATTTAGCAGTAAGAAATTACTCGTCATCCAGGTTTTTATATCGAATATGCATTCCGTTAGTTTTTCAAATTGTTATGTTTCGCCAGGCCACAAAGAAATATAGAGCTGAGTGTCATCAGCATAACAGTGAAAGCTAACTCCGTGTTTCCTGATGATATCTCCCAAGGGTAACAT